GTATTGGCCTCTGCGTGTCGTCGGGGCAGAGAGACCTTCCTTAGTAACAGGCTCTCACACGCATCATGACCCCCAGTCCCTGGACCTTTTCTGCTCTTTTCATCACCATCTTCCTTGTATTTTGCTCGGAGACAGTATGTTCAGTGGTGAAGGAATTAGAGGTTAACGACAGACGTTAACCAGCCCCGTGAAAGTGAGCACGTTTCTCCGCTTTTCTGGGTTTCTATTCCTACAAGGTGGGATGGGAGTCACTGGAGAGCGAATGTATTCCCGTGTAGGAGGGGGGCAGGGTTTCAGTGCTGCCCATTCAGGCACGGAGGATCCCCTCCTCTCCTCAGTCTTGCACTGGGCTGGTCTTTCCAGGCACACACCTGGGCCACCCTCCCCTCGGAGCCTTCCATCCCTGCTCCTCAGCTGCCTTCATTGCTGGAGAGAGCCAGGGCCGTGGGCATCTACGACCTCAGAGTTCTGACCACCTCTTGGAAATTGTTAATTCCTTGTTCATATGCTGTGACAGTCCCCGCATCACAGTTCCGACACGATCCGATTCTTCCCCTCTAAATACTGAAAAATCAAAACTTTTGCTGCGAATTCGCCCCTCTTTTCCTCCAGTTATCTTATAATTGTATTTCCTTCTGTCGCCTTGGTATTTTAAAAACATCTTCCTCCATCGCCTCTTCAAACCTGCCTGTTTGGATTTTAAGTGCGCTGGCCAGGTGGGTCCTTGTAACCACAGGTGAGGGTATCATGGTCAGTTCCTGCGGGGTGACAGCTACTCTGCATCTCCACCGGCCCTGCCTCAGCCCAACCACGTTTTCCTGTACTTGGACCCCTGTGATGGCTGGGCTTCTCTTGCCCTTAACAAGTCATTCCTCACGTCATAGGGAGAACAGTCTTTTAAAAACATATATGGGGTCTTGTCATTCTCTTGTTTAATTTCCCTGGTAGCTTTCCATTCTATTATACATAGAATAAAATTCCAACCCTCGGCCTGCATGACCCAGTCTCTCCCTCCCTCCCTCCCGCCCTCTCTTCCTCTCCTCCCTTCCCCACTCTCTTCCTTCCTCTCTGTGTTCCAGCCACACTGGCTTCCTCTCTGTTCTTTGAACCTCCCACTCAACCCCACCACATTCCTGTCACCCGGATTTTGCATTTGCCTGAATGTGCTCTCCCTCCCCCGACTGATTACATGGGTGCTTCCACCTCACCCTTCAGCTCTCAGTTCAGATGTCACCTCCTGAGAGAGACCCGCCTTCCCCAGTCACTGTCTGGTTATTTCTTTCCTAATACCACAGCCTGCCATTGTCTTGTTATTTATTGTTCATCTCTTTACTCAGCACAGAGTCCGCGCTCAGCGAGTATTTGTTGGGTGAGGGAACCCTCCTCACCGTTCGCATCAGGTAGAAATAGTGTTTGGTGGCACGAACAGAAACCAGGCCAGTGTGGCCTAGCAAGTAGAGGGTTTATCTTTGCGCTTAACAGAAAGTCCGGAGGTGGCAGCTGCACTGCTCAGGGAGGCGCAAGGAGCTGGCTCTCAGAGTTTATTGCTTTCCATTCTTGGAGTGTGGATTCCATCCTCTAGCTGCAAGATGCTGCAGCATCTTATCTTAGATAGGAAGAGGAGATGCAGAGAAGAGCAATTTTAAAAAAAATCTGTAAAGCAATAGCTTTCCCAAAACCCAGTCAGCTTGCTTGAGTCTCCTTGGCCAGGACTATGTTACATGACTAGCTGGTGCAAGAGTGAAGGAAATCACGACAATAGCTAGATCCATACCACCCTTAACGTATTGGGTCCTTTTGGCCAGGAAAGAAAAAGAGGAGAAGAGATTTCGGGTAGACTGTGAGCAGGATATGTCAGAGAGGAGAGAAGATTAGCAGGAGCAAGGGAGAAGGAGGAACGGAAGTAGGTTAGTGAGGAGGGGAGATGTTCTGCCGAAAACCATAGGAATGTAATTACTGGTATTAAGATTTTGCAATAATAATCCTATATAATAAAAGGCTAACATGTAAATTGTCCCCTCAACCAGGAGTTTGACCAGGGGGCAGGGCTGGCCAGCCAACCTCCCCCAGCCCCTCCCCCTAGCCGGCCCAGCCTGATCAGCCTCGATTGGGGCAGGCCGGCTGGACCCCCACCATGCACGAATTTGTGCACTGGGCCTCTAGTAATAATAGTAACTGTCTTTGTAACATTCCCATGTGTCAAGTGAGTTCATAAAGGTGGCTATTTGCTGAAAGAAACGTGTGAATATTGAACTAGTTTTAGAAATAATGCAATAATACCCTAAACTTCAATCTTTTACTAGAATGATCTGTTGACATCAGACTGATGGGTACAAGAGATACGTGGTGGACGTACCTCTGCTTTCTGCTTCATTCTCCTGCAGAGCTAATGCCGCAGGGAACTGACGTGCCAGCTGATATTCTGTGGCACCAATTTCCAACGAGTAGGCACATTTATAGAGGGCCACCGTGCAGGGCCGTGCTGGCGCTCCGGCCCGGGCTTCTGTCGGAGAAGCAGCAGACAGCCAATTGGCTAATTTAAGGAGTCGACACTATTTCCTGTGGACGCTCAAAGCTATCGCCCTGCTCTTGTCTCTAGGGCTTATGGACTTTCAGGCATGAGAAAGCCGAAAGGATCTGTAGAAGATAACGGGGCGTTTGGGAAACCAGTCGTCATAACAACAGGGCAGGCAGCGGCCACAATGGAAGCGGGATCGCCTGTGCACTGTAAGAGGGACGATTCCGGATTAAGCGCCTCCATACACGATGAAATTGAGGCCTCATTAAATTATTACGTCCGATAATCACCACTTTACAAGGCCGGCCTTCCTAGCACACGCTCCTGTTTGCTTGCCGGGGTGACAAGCGATGTGTGTGCAAACACAGATGAACACAGCCAGGCCTCGTGAGCATGGTTCCGTTCATTGCATGCCCAGCATGTGCCAGGCACTCCACAGTCCGTACCTGATTCTGTTATCCCCATTTTACAGACGGGGACGTCAGAAAGGCGAGGTGCTTGCCCAAGTGCCTGTAGGTTGTAAGTGAGTGAGGGGGTTGGGAAGGCAGGTCTAGATTATTCTGAGCCCCGTGGCCTTTCCTCTCAGCTGATCACTAGCTCGTGACCTCTTTGCTTTCACCGGGTCATTTGCAATGGCTTTCTGACCGGCCTCCCACTGCTATCCCTGTCACACCACTGCCAGGCGAAGATTCCTGAAGCAGAGCTGGGATCGCTATTGTGTGCTTCTGCTCAGAGCCTTCCATGATGATTTCCCTTTGCCCACTGAAGGCAATTGTCTTAGCCTGGCATTTAAGGCTTTCTCTCCAGCCTCCTCTTCCACTAGCTGCCTGCAGTCCACTCCGCTCAACCAGACTCAGGGGCTGCCTTGTCCCACCGCCCCCACACCTCTGAGAGCCCTTCAGCTTCCGCACACCCGCCTCAGTCACCTGTTCCCTTCTAGCACTCACCTCCCAGGACTCTCGTTCTGTTTTCAATGTTCTTGTTTATGGCCATGTCTTCTATCCCCTCTCACACTGTGTCCACTCTCAAAGGCAGTGTCAGGAAAGGCCTGAGAAGGACTTTTCCTGGGGAGAGTTCTTGGGAACACTGTGAAGGAGGTGGGACAGGGCGGGGA